AAGGGTGTAGGAATACTTCACGCATTGCGCCAATCAAAGTGCGATCAGCACGGCGCGGCGGTAAAAGTTAAAATTATTGAACCACATTTATGATTGTTCTTTCATAATTGTTTCGCTCATTTCTTATTAATGGAAGGCATTGTACTTATCTTTCCCGCCAAGTTCCGTGAATTTTTGCTAGTAGTGTTGACGGGGCTTCCGCAAAAAATGTATCCAACACGAGTAAACGCGTCTTATGCATCCCTCTCCCTCCGGCACGTTCACTTGACGGTTTTTATTGATGTTTCAAAACGAATGAGATGGGGGCGGCAAAATACAGGCGGCCCATGGGCGGCAAGTAGGTAAATCCAGCCCTGGGTCGTGGGTGTTTCAACCCAGAAGGGTTAGTCAAGCGTGTAAAAGGCGAGTTTTTGCGATCGGAAATACAGAAACGTCAGGGTTGCCGCTGAATTTAGAAAATAAAATTCCCTGACATTTCCCTGATTTCTCTGTCATATTTTGGTGAAATTCCCTGACAATGGAGGATTTCAGATGCTTAAAAAGGTATGATTTGAAAAAGTTTTCTGGTAAACTTTGATTCTCCGAAACGACTAACCCAATCAAGAGAGGATATAAAGGTGATTTGACAACTTTTCTCTGATATTTCTCTTGTTTTTCCAGATATTTCCAAGCTTTCCCTGAATTTTTAAAAACCCCTGACATTTCCCGGCTTCCCTGACTGTGGCAGCCCCAAAACGTGTTCTTGGGGTCAATAATTAAGATAATCGATTTCTCAGAATTCAGCTATTTAGAAACACAAAACAGATATGAAAAATTCAAATACACTTTCATTCCGACGTGATCACCCAATGATACATTCAATTTGATGCATCCCATTAGTTCAGTGGCGTGGCTTGCTATGCGATACATCGATCATTAAAACCTATGGAATTAAACCATTAACTAATTAATTAAAACCATCAACTTCGGGTCCCATGCACGAAGTTTGTTTCTCCGTGTGGCGTGGCGTTCTTTACGATATATCGATTGATCAGCCATTTAAATCCGTGGAAAAGAATCGATAAACAGGGTGTTGGCAACGGACACCTTGAAAATCGATCTTTAACCGTAGCTTCAAATGGGAAAATATCGATAATCGATCATTCACGCCTCTCCACTGCATTAGTCTCCGAGAACTCCGACCTCCGAGGCATCTTTCAAGACTGGGAACTTTTCTTGAGATGCAACCGTCTCGTGCGTTGGTCTTCTTCGAGCGCACAATGAAGACATTTTTCGAAGTCAGGAACTTGTCACCGATTGGCGCGGCGAGGCGACCCACGACAGGGACGTAGACGGATCGACCCGAGATCTGAAGGCTGGGTCGTGGCATCGGGGATCCCCTCCCCCCCCCATACCCCCTGGGGAACAATACGCCACGGGTGCGTGCTTTAACAGACCACTCGGTGGCCCGGAAACAGGAACTAATCCCGTAAGAACCACGCATTCATCGTTGCAGAGTCCCTTTATAGAGAGAGGTGAGATAACGCGGCTTACGGATGTCATAAACAGGAATAAAAAGTGAGCAAATCGGACGTTTTTTGGAATCTTTGATCAACCCATTCCCGAATTCCTCTTTTCGTTCTCTCATTCCATTTTTTCCTTGCCGTACCCCTATTCCTTGGTCCATTCCTGTCAATTGGACGTACTTATGCTAAATGGAACTATGTCACATAGTCCACACTGCGAAAAAAACTTCGTGCGTGGGACCCGAAGTTTAGATCATATGGATCTCTAAAGTTTTCGGATTGAGCATCTGAACACTTTAGGTCCAGCTGCTGAGGTTTGGATCACACATCTGAAACTTCAGTTCTTACATCTGAAGTACTTCGGTTTTCACATCCGAAAAACTTTGGTTCTCACATTCTGAAGTACTTCAGATGTAAGAACTGAAGTTTCAGATGTGTGTTCCGAACCTCGACAGCTAAATCTTAAGTGTTCAGATGCTCAATCTGAAAACTTCAGAGATCCGTATGACCTAAACTTCGGGTCTCACGCACGACGTTTTTTTCTCCATGTAGAGAGAGTTGAGATAACGCGGCTTACGGATGTCGTAAACGGGAATAAAAAGTAACCAAATCAGACGTTTTTTGGAATCTTCGATCAACCCATTCCCGAATTTCTCTTTTCGTTTTGTCATTCCATTTTTTCCTTACCGTACCCCCTATTCCCTGGTCCATTCCTGTCAATTGGACGTACTTATGCTAAATGGAACTATGTCACAAAGTTTATGTGCGAGAGGAAAGATGGGGTGTGCTCGTTGGTGCTCGGGCCATAAGAATGAATGGGAATTTAAAAGCGCCAGTGACGTCAGCAGTGACGACCGGGCTCGACGACACTCGACGGGAGCGCCGACGACTAGGTCGTCAGTCTTTAACTCATGAGCCCTGTCCACAACGCTCTTGTCACATGCCCACGGCTCACGAGTTAGCGCTCAGTTCCTTTTGATTTAATGTCAAATCCCGCTTTTCCATTTTCTCAAAAAGAACTATGTCCACTATTACATTGTTTCTTATCCACCTCACCACGAGCATACCCAGGGTGTCTACTAAAACAGACGGGCCAAAAATCAGTACTTTTTCAATACATTCAATTCAGTACTTTTTCAGTGCTTCCATTTGACGAAATTCGAGGGATTTCAACATTTTGCATTTTTCTCTCAAATTGCGACAAAAATGAAAAATTCCGGACCTTCTAGCGGGATTTCCGCACTTTTCCAGTACTTCCGGACCGCTCTTAAAAAATCAGTACTACTTCCGGAAATTCCGGACTTGTAGACACCCTGACACCCCACCTTTCCACTCGCACATAGTTCCTTTCAGCTTAAATAGTCCGATTTCGACAATCAGCCCGTGGTTCCCGGTGGCACCGTCGGAAAGTTTCCGGACCCCTGGCTACACAGAATGATTTTTGAGCACCTTGTGAGACTCGGAGACCAGAAGAGGAACGGGCCGCGCGACGAGAACGCCTCTCGGTGAGCCGCCAAGACGGGGTTATTGTATGCATAAGCGTTATGGGATGGCACGCAGCCGCGGGTGAACTTAGACTTGGACCGAGAATCAAAAGTGTTTGCCCCGCTCGGAAGTGAAGCCATCAAGACATCTGCATCAAGCATGCGGCCATGCCCCGGCCCGACTTCGGCTGGAATGGAACCCACTCCCAACTCCCGGGCCGATCCCGCGCCCAAGGCGGTGACGCCCTGAGTCCCCGCACGGGTTCCCTTTCGGCTTCGTCGGCCGCCCGAGAAAGCCCCGGGTTGAACTACTTAATCGACGTCCAAGCCTAAAGGACGCCTAGAAAATAGAAAAGTACCGAATGGAGATGTTGCATGTGTGAGAAATTTGCGATTTGACTGTTGATTCTCATGTAAAAGTTCGCGAGAAACACGATGGTGCTACTGGGAAATCAACTCCCAAGTTCAAAAAAAGCTCTCAAGTTGAGGCCAACATGGAGGGGATATCCCACGCTATCCTGAGAGTCCACCTCTACATCAAGACAAACTCTCCATGCAAAGATAGGGAGCAAATACATTAGCAGGGTTGTCGTGTTTTCAGTTTTGGAGTCCCCAAATAAAGTGGCAGCCCTGTCAATGTATTTGCTCCCTATCTTTGCACGGAGAGTTTGTCTTGATGTAGAGGTGGACTCTCAGGATAGCGTGGGATATCCCCTCCATCTGGGCCTCAACTTGAGAGCCTTTTTTGAGCTTGGGAGTTGATTTTAGAGAAAACCAGTAGCACCATCATGTTTCTCGCGAACTTTTACGTAAGAATTATCAGTCAAATCGCAAATTCCTCTTACATGCAACATCTCCATTTAAAACGCTGGAGAGTACTGCCGTGCTAATCGTACTAAACGTAAAAGTAAAGTAAAACGTAAAATCGACAATGAGATTACGAAAATATATATTATTATAAAAAAAATAAAAATATGTACACTGGAAAAAAACCACATTGGATCTAGAGTGCAGACTCTTAAAAACATCGACAAGAAAAAGTACTCTTGATTCAATCAGAATCTAGCTTAAATCAAGAACCAAGCCTCTTAATTTAAGCGGATTTCGTTTTGATTCAAGCAAAAATCCGATTGCAAGAGTATTTTTTCTTGTCAATGTTTTCAAGAGTCTGGACTCTAGATCCAATGTTTTTTTCCAGTGTGTATAAAAAAATAAAAATATTTATAAAAAAATAAAAATATTTATAAAAAAATAAAAATATTTATAAAAAAATAAAAATATTTATAAAAAATAAAATAAAAAAATAAAAAAATAAAAATATCTATAAAAAATAAAATAAAAAAATAAAAATATCTATAAAAAATAAAATAAAAAAATAAAAATATCTATAAAAAATAAAATAAAAAAATAAAAATATCTATAAAAAATAAAATAAAAAAATAAAAAAATCTATAAAAAATAAAATAAAAAAATAAAAATATCTATAAAAAATAAAATAAAAAAATAAAAAATCTATAAAAAATAAAATAAAAAAATAAAAAAATAAAAATATCTATAAAAAATAAAATAAAAAAATAAAAAAATCTATAAAAAATAAAATAAAAAAATAAAAAAATCTATAAAAAATAAAATAAAAAAATAAAAAAATAAAAATATCTATAAAAAATAAAATAAAAAAAATAAAAAAATAAAAATATCTATAAAAAATAAAATAAAAAAATAAAAATATCTATAAAAAATAAAATAAAAAAATAAATAAAAAAATTAAAAGTAAAAAAATTAAAAGTAAAAAAATAAAAAATCTTTTATTGTGGCTTATTCCCGGATCCTAAAACCCCCGGTCCGAAAAACGTCCGAAATCCGGCCCAGAAACCGGGAGGATCCCGTCCGGATTGCGGGCGGGAGGGAATCCCGGGGCGGCCTCGGCGTGACGTAACGGAGGGGCCGGCGGGTGGCCGATTTCATAAGAGGAGCCGCGGCCCGACCTCGCGGGACGCCGCGCCGAGGCAGCTCAGTCGGCCCCGAACCGCCAGCAGCGCCGCGACGCCGAACCCCGTTCCCGCGGAACCCCTACGCGCCCCGCGTGATCGCCATGTGCTTCGCGCCGCTCCGAGTCCCGCCCCAGTGACACGCTCCCCAACACCCCGGTGATACAGAGTTAAACCCGCCAGTGACACGAGGGGATAAGTGGTTTAAATGTGCCCCGCCACCAGTGTTTATAAACATAGTGTTTTCTATTGGATTACCTGACCTCACAGGTAGGACCTATTCACGCATCTCCGCACCGAGGGGATGATTTTCTTTTTCTTTTCACCAAGCTATGCGGGAAAATGCGTCATTTCCCGGACCAGGGTGTCTAGTTGTTTTTTTTTTATTTTGGGAAATCCTGATTTTTCCTGATTTTTGACTGCTGAATCCAGATTTCATAATTTTTCCGAATCCTGCATGATCGAATCCTGATTTTTTGCGGAGAAAAATTAAAATTTCAGCATAGGCGTATGCGAAAGCAGTCCGTACGGTCCTAGTTTTTTTTTCAGTTTGGGAAATCTTAATGAAATTCTGATTTTTCCTGATTTTTGACTGCTAAATACAGCTTCATGATTTTTCCAGATCCTGCATGATCAAATCCTGACTTTTTGCGGGGAAAAATTAAAATTTCAGCATAAGCGTATGCGAAAGCAGTCCGATCGGACGGCCGACTTCTCTCAAATTCTGATTATACAACCCGTTTTTCCTCGAATCCTGATGAAATTAGGAGTAAATCCTTGTTGGCCTCAAATTCTGACAGAATCTGGAAAATCCTGATGCTGGACACCCTACGGACGATGGGACGTAACTCCACTCTAAGGTTGCAAAATTCACTCGCACAATTAAATTGTTAACAAAAATGTATCTGTGCAATTGTTTTTCGAAATTTTTCGAATTTTTGCATGAGATCAGGAGAAAAATCAGTGCGATTTTCAGTCAGAGATGCCGAAGATTCTCCTGTTAAAATTTCGATTTATACGAGGGGAAATTCTAATTCGGCAACATTGAATAGTAGTTAAGTACGTTCTTTCGTAGGGAAAACAACGAATTGTCGTCATCAAAACGAAGAAACTTAATTTTAGTCCGAAGTTGAAAAATTGGCACGAACAATGCAATTTGTTGCAAGCATCAGCAGACTGATTGTTCAAACTATTCCGGGATTTATCGGCAAGGTAAGACAAGACATGCGACCATACCTGTGCTAAATGTTACATCAGTTACTGATATCTTGTCGTGCTGACACGAATTTCAGGCACCAGGTCGCTACTTTTACAATTAGTGTCCAAAGAGATGCTGATTTTTGCGTACAATCAGTAGAAAAATTGGTGACATAAATGGGAACTTTTTTTTCGGGACTTAGGGGGGTCATAACGACTCACTATGCCAAAAATCAGTTTCACTGGAAAAAAAAACACACATTGGATCTAGAGTCCAGATTCTTAAAAACATGGACAAGAAAAAATTCTCTTGCTTCAATCGGATTTTTGCTTAAATCAAGAACCAAGCCTCTTAATTTGAGCGGATTTCCTTTTGATTTAAGCAAAAATCTGATTGAATCAAGAGTATTTTTTCTTGTCAATGTTTTCAAGAATCTAGACTCTAGATCCAATGTGTTTTTTTTCTCGTGTTGTTATTAATTTTTTCCCTTCTCGGGTCAAATTTGTCGTATAATTCCTGGACGAATGCGAAGATTTCTGAAAGCTGGCAAAAATTTCGCCAATTTCTCCGAACAAATTGCGAGGATAAATTGTGACCAATAAAAGTTTTTTTATTTTCGGATTGAGCCATCGGCGATGATGTACGGTCCATAACGCATGCGCACGGTTACATGAAACGACCGAGGCGCGATACTCAGAGCTGACAAGCTGCATAATCGGAATGATGCAAGTCCGATGTCCAAAATGCACTCGAGGTGCCAAAATGATTGGCGAACCGTCAAATGCACCAGAAGGGTTGCATAAGGTGCGATTGCATTAGACCACATCGACGCTCAACCAACCACACTCCTGCATACGGCTGCAGGAAATTGGGAAACTTTTAACGTAAGCCGACACTTGAAGAAAGGCCGCCAAAGTTTTTAGAATCCGAGACAGGAAAGGTTTAATTTCCGCAATGCCGGTCACTTCGCAAGCATGCGTGCACTTTTAATGAAGTAGTCTCTCAGCTGACGGGCAAAAAATAAAGGAGGTGCTTTACGAACTTTGAAGGAAATAAATCCGCTTCCTCGCGTTTTCTGTTGCTAAACTTGAAGAAATTATGATAGTATCACATCAATCACAACCCAACCTCTTTCTGTGTCGGTTTGAACATTTCGTCGTTTTTTTTTCGTCGCGAAAGAACGTAACTACATTTCTACGTTGCCAAATTTTCCCTTGCAATTATCATTTCTACCGGGAGAATCTTGGTCACTTAAAATTTCGCTGGTTTTTCTTCTGATCGCATGTACAAATCAGACAGAATTTGGACAATGATTGCACAAGTAAACATCGTTGTAAAAAATTTAGTTGTTTGAGTCAATTTTGCAGCCTGGGCATTAATTGAAGCTCCTCCGTTCGGGAAATAACGATTTGGGAACTAAATAAGACTTGATTTTGGCCAACTATTAATTTTCTTTACTTCGGTTTTTTTGGTTACCTACGTTCTTTTTTTTTCTTTTTTTTTCTTTTTTTTCTTTTTTTTCTTTTTTTTCTTTTTTTTCTTTTTTTCTTTTTCTTTTTTCTTCTTTTTTTACGTTCTTTCTCGAGACAAGCGATCAGTGTTCGAAACTCACCTTTGACTTACAGGGACCATGTGGCGCATCAAGCTCGATTTTTAGGGCCATTATAGATATTTTAGGGGCCAAATTGACTTTTTGCCTATATACCACGGCGCATTTAGTGAACAGTTAGAAGAAAGATGTTTTGATTACAGAAACGGGAACTGTAACTAGGGGGAAATTTCGAATGATCACCAAACATAAAAATTTGGATTTTTTTGGAGGGGGGGGGGGAGGCAAGTTTTAGCGGCCACGTTGGCGCAGAGCCTTCTTTTTTTAGGCGCCATGGCCGATTTCTTGGGCGCATTTGGCGCGTTGGCGCTTGTGAGTTTCGAAAACTGCAAACGATCAATTCTATGATAAGCGGTCACAAATTCATTCTAAATTTTAAAAACACCATGAATGCTCCCCTGTTTACCTCTAGATCCCGCGAACAACAAATTCGCCGCTCGGTTCGGATGAGGAGGCGTATTTTCAATTTCCACGTATCCTCCGTTCCCGTGACGTCACACCCGGGCCCGACGTTCATCGACGACGAGGGCACCGTGTCGTGGGCCCCTTCTTAGAACGTAAACATCGCGCAGAAATGAATGGAAAGCTGTCATTAACACCGGTCGGTGTCGTGCTCGTGCAGAACCGTGTCTTTAGCGGATGACGCTGCGATTCGCTTTTCAAGAACGCGCCCTCAAGGTCGTGTTCTGAATACCCCCAACGCGTCCTCGGCCGTGGATGTTCCCCGCTAAAAAACCTCCGATTGTTTTTTAATAGCCCGCCACGTATCACGAAGCTTTCACGACATGTCAACTTACTACTCACAATTTTCATGTTGGTTCCAATAGTTCGGGAAAGCATGGGCGGAGTTTTGTATCCAAGGGTGGAGATGCCTACAGGGTTGCCACAGAATTTAGAAAATGAAATTCCCTGACATTTCCCTGATTTTTCTGACACATTTCGGTGGAATCCCCTGATAATTGAAGATGTGACGGGTGGTTAAAAAGGCATGATTGAAAATAGTTTTCAGGTAAAATTTGTTGTTCGGAACCTCAAACCCATTCTAGAAAGCGAGTGAAGGTGATTTAACAACCCCTGACATTTTCGTCATTTTCGACATTTACCGGTTTTCCTTGACTTTTTAAAATTCCCTGATATTTTCTGGTTATCCCTGACTGCAGGAAACATCTCTTGAAGCTTCCCGGGATAGGGAATTAAATAGGAACTGTCCCTCGGAATTCTCGGGTAAAATCAACAGCTCTAGAAAACTTCGTCAGAAAAACTCACGCCTCCGCATGCTCATATATATCGATGGTGAAATTTCAAAAACTTTAGAGATTTGGTTTTTCCCTGTGTGATGAATATTTTGTGAAAATGTTGAGCCATAATGTTCGTTGGGTCTCCTTTTAAAAATAAAATATGAGAGCGGAGATTTTGAAACACTGCGACCGAAATACGCTTTTTTGCAGCTCCACCGTAGATATGCCTCAAGCCATTAGCAATCGCCGGATATTTGCATGCCACTAATGAATCAATTTCAAAAAATAATTCAAACAAAATTTTTTTAAACAATTCAAAAAATAATTTTTAGAAATGAAGAACCATTTTTCGAGTACTGATTATTTTGCCGCTAATATGAAAAGACACTTCAGACTCCGTAATAAACATGATAGAGACGGTCACACTCAGGAGAGCGTGTTGTGAAATCCGTGACCTCAGTTGGGTTTGCATGAAACAAGCAACTAAACTAACTCCGTGACAAAGCGTGGAGTATCACAAAAAATGAAGGCGCTCCAAATCGAGATCATGCTTTTAAAGGCCGCTACTTATTAAACTTTCACTGTGCCGATGCGCAATTTTTCGATTTTTCGCAGAAACACGTGAACCACGATTGTAATTTGCCTATGACATATCAATGGCTACAGTGCGAAACGGCACACGGTGGAGAGAGTCAATTAGAGAGGTCGGACATGAAATTTTTGACAAAAATTGTGAATTTTGATGTTCACTTCGTCACATTTTAGATTTCAAGGGGTGCTTCTTCTGTAAGAGATTTTCACTAGGAAATCAACGGAATCACTTTTGGAACCTCGAAGCTTTGTATACACGGAGTATTAAGCGTTTAAAGTTTCCAAATTCCCCGTATGGGGGACTGTTGTCACAGGTTTAGCAATCCTGCGGACCCCAGCTGGTAGCCCCTGCCTCAAAGGGGGCAGTGGAGATGGTCACCGGCCTCTGGGCGTATGAACCACCTGCTAGAAGGGCAGACAGGGCTCTGAGCTGAAGTGAAAGCAACCTGTCTAGGAGAGGCAACTCCGAAATCAAACCCTGGTCCTCCAGGTTGGGGGTTGAGTCATCGGGCTAACTCCCCGGTACTTGTAAAAAGTTTTACTGTTAAACGACCTAACAATACAAGCCTCGGTACCACTACAACTAAACGGACACGTCGACAAAAATTGAGAAAACGGACAATGGTATTTGGGA